GGATAATTTGGATTGCCGCTTACATGATGATGAAGATCCAAATCTGGAATATCTTCAGGTAAGGGTACGTTATTTAGACCTTCAAATTGATTCTGAAATTGATTTTGCGGTGTCATAGACGATTCGTTTCCTCCCACACCAAACAAGTTTTCGACAAATGAGCGTGGATCCATTTGTTAAGTTGTAATAAGTAATAACTAGTAAAAGAATAATTGTATAAATGTAGTGAGAAATGAAAATTGGATGAAATTTCAATAAATATAGTGAGAACTGAGAAATGAGAATTTGATATTATATAAATTGTATATAAAAATTGTACAACTATCAACACAATACAAGATAGTTGAAAGAAAGATAATTGAGAGTAAAGAGTGAATTGTAGAGAATTTTGTGGCTAAATGCCACTATTTATAGAAGAAGGAAAGAAAAGAAAAGAAAAATAAAATATAAGAACCAAAACGATCAAAACAAAATAAAAATAAAATTAGGGGGACTGAAACGGTCACTGACAAGGCCCTTGTACCAAAGTGAAGGGTTTGATGTAGAAGTAAATAAAGCAGCAGATATGGAAGACTTTTACGAGGGATGAATTGGATAGAAAGAGCCAGTCGTGTCACAATTGAGAAGAGTGGCTTTTATCTGAATATCCTTAAAAATACCTTGGGTAGTAAATTCCAGGAAAGTGGCAGTTGATAAAGTGATCGAAACGGTCACTTTTTAAAAAATGTGACCGTTTCGGTCACATTTAAAAACGAGCCCACGAGCTTGGGCTCGTGGCTCGTTTATAACGAGCCGCTCGCTGCGAGCAGCTCATTTTTTGTGCGAGCCGAGCGCTCGGGCTAGTGTTTTTACGAGTCCGAACCGCCCACGAGCACCGTTTTCGCGAGCCAACGAGCAACTCGGCCAATTTGCCTCCCCTAAGGACGATATTTATTTATTTTATTTTCTAGTTAGGCTTTGTTTATTATCTTGGACTCTTATTTAGATAATTGGATTTGTATGGGTTCGGGCCCAATCTCGTTAGGATTTGCTTTACTATTTAAATCTATTTTGCATTGTAATTTTTCAATTGATGATTGAATAAAGATATTTGGTAGTTTGTGGCGAAATTCCCCTTCCCTATTCTTCTTCTTCCCCTGTTTTCTTCTTCTATCATCCCTTCCCCTGATTTCTTCTTCATGTTCATTGATTTTCTTTTTCTCTATTAATTTTCCTATTAGTGCTGCATCAAGTGGACCATAGGAAATTGGTAAAACAAATATGCAGTGATAAAGTCCTTGAATTATACTAATTTTTCAATTAATATTCAAACTTAAACAATAAACCTTTAATGAAACTGCTTGTGTGAAAAAAATAAAACTAGGCACAGGGGCAATACCATAAATACTACTAATTATTAACAGTCATAAGTCTATCGAAATAAACCACACTTCAGATATACATTGTCGAATCAAATGTGAAATGCAATCCAAATATCAATAACAATTACAAACTAAATAGGCATAAAAAAAATAAATTGCAATTCATTAACAGAACATAGAGGACTATTCTAATAGTTAAAATAAATAAATAAAATGGAAAAAGCAATGGAAAATCAAAAACCGCCCTAAGATAAAGAGGAAGTATGCAAGTTGACTACAAAATTTGAAACTCTTGAATATGATGCACAAGTATAGAACCCCAGCTTGCTATTTTTTGATAAAGAAATGTTGTTTCCTTGAGTGCTTGTGACGGATAGTCACTCATATATACATATAAAGGATCTGATCTAAGATATTGAATTTACTTTAAACTAACGAATCCATCCCAAGTTCCTTTAGTATCCATGGATTTGACAGTTGTTGACAAACATCACTGCCACTTTGCCAGCATCTAAGTATCAAGTTAGCTTTGCAAGATATGTAAATATTTACCTTGTATCCATTCTTGATGAAGTTCAATAGGAGATGAATAACAATGCTAAAATTCTAATTACAGGGAATTATGTGGAGAATTTCTACGACAGACCACAATGCTTCTCATTGCTCCACATTTTTTCAAAGGTCATGTTGTTGGAATTTTTGTTTTTCATTAGAATAACAGGAAATTATAGCATACAAACAAGGAATAACACTTATTAAAGAGGTTCAGGATTTGAAGAGCCATATAACAAGCTTCTAACATCCACCAATAGCAAAGTTAAGAGAGCATGAAAAAAGATCCTCAGCAACATCTTTCTGGGATCCAAAGAACATCTCTAGTATGCCATGAGCTACATATATTAGTGTTATTATAGGTTATAAAAAAATCTTCAACCTCTGAGCTTATATTCTATTCTGAATAAGTTTTGTGCATGAAAAATTTGAGATTCATAACTCCTATCAAACCTAGTAATTTACACTTGCCTCTGCAGCTGTAACATATGGAAGACTTCTTCAATTTTTTGTCTCTACATAAAGTAATACCGAAGCTGTCATCCAAATATGACATGTTTAGTAGAGAGGACTAACGTAAAACTAGATAGTAATAGATAAGAATATTTTTCTTAAAAAAAAAAATGCTAAACATTTTTAATTGATCATTATACTGTCTATTCTAGTCTAAGTACAGTCTCGTACTATGTACCAAATGTACATTAACTATCACCAAAGGCAAGGAGACCTGAAAATGCCAACTATAAAAATTGCCTCCAGATATAACCTTAACACCAGATATATCATTTAACTTCAATGTGGGTGGATGCTTTTAATTTGAAACAGAAAATCCATCTTATATAATAGCACATGGTGATTGTATTTTCTTTCAATATTATATCTAACCATATTATAGCAGTTTCTTTCAGTGGTATTTATTAGACAATGGAGTTCTTACACAGTGACAGATACCCCTAATTTAACATTGACATACTATGAACAGGCTTCTCAGTTAACACGTCACTTAATTTCCCTCCCCATAAGAATGAAATATTTTACTTTAAAGCTTAACAAGGGGGTGCATTCAATTTGACTTTTTAAAGACTTTTAGTGACTTTTTTTTCTCTCTAATTTTTATTTTATTTTTATTTTTATTTTTATTTATTTATTTTTTTTTTTTTAAGTAATTGACTTTTTGCAGAGCTCAATGAACTTTTATTGACTTTAATAAACTTTCAGAAAATCAATGCATGATCAATATTCCACAACCCACAATAACAAAATTAGATTTCTCATGTCAAAAAAAAATATTTTTTAAAAGAATATAAAAAATATAAGTCACCTAAATTAGAAAAATAAACAACCAAAATACAAATAAATAAATAAAATTACAACATTTCACTACTTTTTCATGAAAAAAAGAAATCTCTAAGGTTTAATATTAACGATATGTTCAAACCTATAGGAAGTTATTAAGTTAAACAAGCAACAAATATTAAAAAAAAAAAAAAAAATTAATTTTCAAATTAATTTATCTTTTCATAAAATTAAAAAAAAAAATTTTGATCTTTCTCTAGAAAAATTGGAGAAAGCTATGAAAAAGAAGAGAGTGAATCCTTTTTTTAAAATCTCATAGAAAAAGGAGATACGATAAAAAGAAGAGAGGGAAAAATGAAATGAGAATATTAAAAATATAATGATAATAATAGCAGGTTGAATAGAGAAATAAATATTAATTTTTTTAACATAGCAATAGGGTTTGTAGAATGAAAGAGGCAAGAGAAATGTTGAAAAAAGAGAAAAATATTACAGATGACTTTGTGAAAGTCTTTCAAAATCTTGGGTAAATGAGAAACTTTTATGAGATTTTGTATTTTTAATTTCTGCATAAAAGTTAGTGCATGAAGAATTTTTTAAAAGCCATTCACTTTGAATACCTATCACATTTTAAGACTTCTAAAAAGTTAATTTAATGTCCCATGACTTTTGATTTTTCAAAAGTATATGAAAGTCCATATTGAATATACCAGGACCTTCATGTAATCTTATTGAAAACACCTAAATATTTTAAGTTTCTAAAAATCTTTAAAATTCTAGATTGAATATAACTTTCTAAGTCTGCAAACAACCTCCCTTTTTATCAGTTTCAAGTTGCATTCACAGAACTTCCATTTCGAGAAAAAATCTATCCTATAGCTCCTTGCACTAATATATGCACTCCACACAGATTAAGAAGCAAGTTATCCTAAGATTCTTCACACAACCAACTCATTTCAAGACATAATGAGAATGAGCTTTATTGAAGGACTCCAGAAGATCAAACGCATTAGTTCATGGATATTTTTTAATAACACGAAACAGTATAGGTTAGTCATACTAGTGTGCATCTTGAACCTACAGTTTTGAAACATAATAATTCAATCAGACCCTCCTACATTCCAATATTTACATTTCAATTGTTACACCTACATACACATAAAAAAGATAGAACAACCTCATCTTTCATAATTGCATAAAAATCCTGATCAAAACAAGTAATCATTGTTATTTATCCAGGAGAAGATGAATTTTTCAGGAAGCAATAACAGTAGCAATTTCACTCTTCCTTGTAAAACCAAAGGGTCAGCAATTAAAGGAGTCACAATAAAAAACAATATACAAAAATCCAATTCCTTAAATTCCTTAAAGGGTCTAGTCATCATAATATCTAGAAAAGCTACATAATTTAAGAGACTTGCGAAGGCACTTACCTTCTGCATCATACATTGTGGTCCAACCATGTCAAAACTGACAGACGCCCGAAAGATGGAAAATAGTTCAAGGGCAGTAAATGTAGCTCCTTTAAAAAGAACAAAGAATAGATTAATGACAACTTACTTACATTTGTGATAGCTTGAATGACTGAAATATAAAAGAAAGAAAACAGAATAGGAGAAAGCAGAGAAGAAGTGCATGCGTTCTAAACAAAATTCTAAGCCAGTAGTCATACACACTAATCACCATATACAGTAGACAAAAATTAATTGCAGTTTTTCAGTTCCAAATCAACAGAGAAAAAATTCTGAATCCCAGACGATTTCTTTCAATGAACAAACAGAACTACCAACATAGAGATGGCAAAGGATGATTAATAGAGAAATACAACTGTTTGAGATTCCAGAGCATCTTCTCTGTGGTCAGAGGTCAGTCATCTTGCTTGCAAATAAATTCCAGTGCCAAACTGAAATGTCTAAACCGAATGCTCACAACAACACCTAACTCGTATGTCCAGATTGTAATATCAGAGAGAGGAACAGAGTGTGCCAATTTATTAAGAGAAGGATCGAAGATAAAAATTGAAGTCCATTCCAAACTATTTATTAGGAAAAAAGACTTTCAGAGAGAATGAATCCACATAATCTTGGAAAAATTAATAGAAAACTCTAGTTACTTCTATGCCATAAAAATTTCCAAGCTCTCTTAGTTGAAATCCCGCAGTCTTTTCTTTAGCACGTCCACGGACTTCTTTCGGACGCTTTGCTTTGTGTTCCCTCTTGAAAGGCTTCCAAAAAGTCCATCAGGTGAATCCTTGAACTTGTCACATATAGTAGCAACCTTTTTATAATCCAAGCAATTGTAGTTCTTCTCTCTTATCACAGGATTCATGAAGTTTTCAGGCTGACTGCTCAAGAGAAGGTTTACCAATTGTCTGGCTTCTATCAAGCAACCTAGGAAGCTCCCTTCACTGTATATCTCATGCAATCCAGTATTGTGAAACTTCTCATCACCAAAAGATTCCAACACCTTTAGATCATGGTCGATGCTCATGACTGCATTTGTGTTAAATCTCTTTACGCTATCACTTAGAAAAGCTCCCAGAATAGAGTTTGAGATATGCTCAAAAGCGCCAATCCCAACTTTATATAAAGCATCCAAGGGCAAAATTTGTTGTGCAGTGGATATAAGGGTGTCAAGATAGAAAACAACCTCATTCACGTACTCATTCGCATGCTGGGGTACATCGTCAGAAGTCCAATTTACATTTTCTGTGAGTGACATAAACTCATCTAACTTGGAGTTTACAAGACTCAGTAGAGCAAGATAAGCAGCATCCCTTGAAGTTTTAAATACAATCTTGGCGGTTAAGCTAACTTGACGACTGTCAACTGATCTGGCAGGAATACCACATTGTTGGGCAGCATGCTGAAGAAAATAATCACATGCCCTTTCCAAAACAGCTATGTTGGCAGCAATCTGCATTGCTTGAGAGACACCAATGGTACCACTATGCATATTATTAAGCATGACTTCATTTAAGATATCAATCAAGAGTTTGTCCAGGTACTTCCTCACGATATCAAAGAAGTTCATCTGCACCCCATAAGACAAGTAATTAACGGAGTCCTTGATAAATGATCGAACAATCCGACAGCATTCAGGTACCATAATAGAGAATGGGGCAATGTATGGGAAAGCGGGCATTATATCTGATGTTTGAAGATGGAATATAAGAACATTTGTGTGGTAGTCCGACTCCTTTTTGATGACCATCTGCTCATGTGTGTCACTGGCAAGGACATCAGTTATCTGTTGCTGACACTCTGCTAAAAGAAGCTCATGATATTTATCACGACTACTGTTCAAAGTCTTGAGAATTGAGCCCACTTCATATCCGTACTTTCTAAGGGTTGCCCCAAGAAGAGTGACGTAATCCTTCACCAGGAGGAGATGGTTCGCTGTATCCATATGCGAAAATTGTTCCTCCAAGATTGAAGTTATTTTAGCAGCAGCTGTTTCCCACATTGTCTCAAGTTGATTTGGTGAGAGCAGTCCATTGGCAGTCCTTAAGACCCTGTCTTCAACAATAAAATAACCAGTAATTAGTGCCAAAAATGTCTGATGAGATTCAAGGAACGGTTGTGCAGAGGATATTTGCAAATCTGACTTCAGCTGCAGAAACCGGTTTTTGTAATAATAGTCACGAAACTGCTCTTGAATTCCAAGACAAGTGTGAATGTGATATGCCCGATAAAGAGGAGTGAGGTCAAATTTTAGAACAGAATTCTCATCAATTTCTTCAACATCTAAGGTATAAGTGAAATCACCTAAACCCAAACAACTTTGTTCCTCTGCTTTCCTTTGACGAGCCAACATATCCTCATCCCTCTGACGAGCAGATGCAGCATATCCTATAGCAGTTTGCCCAATATCCTTAGCACTGCTCCTTATGTGAACTAGCCATTCATTAACTTCGCTGCATACCTTCTTCTCAACGTGTGACTTTATCAACGGTATTCTCTTCTCAATAAGCATCTTGAATGCCTTGACAGGAATATTCTGCAAATAAGTTTTCTCAATCTGATCAACAGCTTTTAAAGCCGGGTAAAACCGACCTTCTGAAATGTGGTTATTACACTTCATACAAAGATCCAAGGCAAGAACACAATTCTTTAACATCTTAATGGCTTCAGTAACATTCTTCTTAATCATATAAGATTCAAGAAGTTCTTCGAGTTTCAAAAGTAGAGCGCTCCCAACCTCTTGTAACCTAAAATTCTCGCTCGCAAGCTCACTTTTTAGCTCTTCCGCATCAACTAAGACACCACGAAGCTCATCGACAGCAAGTATAAAATCCTCATAATGGAGCTTGCAAAGTTCCTCAATTTCAACTTCTTTCTTTTTCACTACAATCTTAAGCTGTTGCGTAAGGGCTTCAGGCTTCCCCGTCTCAAAAGCAAGTCGGACCATAGGTCCCAAATCCTCCCCATTACTGACCATAGTACTGATAACAGAGTCCTCGCCTGTCTCGCCATTCTCCACTGCTGGTCTCATCTTTGTTTTGCTCATTTTTTCCTAATCAAAACCCTGTATTGATCAAAGACAAGATACTTTACCAAATTATTGCTCTTCAACATAACCAAGAATCTCAACAACCAATAAACCGAAAATACCTGCTTAAATAAAAACGCGTATCCCTAGTATTTAATAAACGGAATGCAAGCATTTAAGCAAAATTTTACCAAAAATGATACAGCGTTTCGTTGAACAACAGTAGAAAATACAAGAAATGTTGATTCAAAAAAGGGGAAAAACAAGAAGACCCTAAACCCATTACTAAAAGAAGATTAAAGCAACCATTTTCAGAAGATTTGTTGTACCTATTTTTAGATCCCTTTTTTCAAGTAGCTTTTCATTTATACAAACTATCAATCAATTTCATCAATAAAAAATCCACATAAACCAAACTAAAGAAATTAAAGAAAAAAGAAGAATGTATACTTTAACGGGCAAAAAAATATAAACAGAAATATGCAAGCAACACGATCATCAAGAAAGCAATTTGCTAACCAAGAAATTCAAGAAAGGTTTTAAAAGATCACTCTTTTACCTGAAAGAGCAGAATCTTGATTCTTACGATAACCAGGCACTGAGAGACCCAGGTTTCTTTTTCCTTTACCCGAGAAAATGTGGGATTGGATCTTCCTTTTTGGGTTATCTTCACTTTTTTCTGGGTTTTTCTTTAGGTCTGAGATTTCTATATATGTATTATTTTCGATGTTTTTTATGATTTGTCTTTCAGATAATAATAATAATAAGTACAGCTGGAATTAATTTCTGTTTTAATGGGAATTTTGTAGCAGACATTCTTACTTGGAAGCAAAGCCGAAATCCACAGTTATAATTCAACAATCATTAATAATTCATTAATTTTCTGGCTTTCATTCAATAATTGTTTTTGCATTTGGTACTTTTGGGTGCAATAGCTGCCAAGATCCAGCAGGTCCGTGCCAATTGAGTTGAACTATTTATAAATGACTAGAGGTGCTTGTGACTCCCTTTTATGTAAAAATGCATTTTATTTATGGCTTTCATTCAATAATTGTTTTTGCATTCGGTACTTTTGGGTGCAATAGCTGCCAAGATCCAGCAGGGTCCGTGCCAATTGAGTTGAACTATTTATAAATTACTAGAGGTGCTTGTGACTCCCTTTTATGTAAAAATGTATTTTAGAATAGTAAATTATGAGAAATGTGTTGTTGAAAAATGAGGAAATTTTTTTTATTTACGTGTAATATTATTTTAATAAAAAATATATGATTGAAAAGAAAAGAGATAAAAATACATTTTGAAAAAAATTGGTACCAAACGGGCCTAGCGCATGGCTTTTTTAAGGACTAGGCTCAACTCACAAGGAACTGGCAAAAGGAAGAAAGGAAGAGCGAAAGCATTCAATAGAAGTGAAATTGAATTTGTTGATCATAATGGGTTCTACGAAGCAGTTATCATAGCACTCGATCACTGGTTGATTACAAATTTCAATTGTACAACAAACAAATACTTAAATCCAAATAATTAGACTATTTAGAATTTATTTAGTCATCATACTTGGGACAATTTGTTGTGTCGATGAACTTTCGTTGGAAGAGCTAGTAGTCAACCAACTATATATTTGGTCTTGATTATTAAGCTTAAAACTCTTTTATTCTTAAAAAACTCATTTTCAATCAAACATTCTTATAAAAAAAAATATTTTACACATAAATCTAAAACTATTCCATATTTTTTAACCATACATTCTCAAAAAATTTACTATTTCAAAACTCATTTTGACTTAATAATGATAGACAAAAATGGGCTGAATTTGATGAGAGAGACTACATGGTTATAAGCTTATAATCTCAAACCTTTGTCGAACAAGAGATAAAAGCAACATTAGATGTTATGTTTGTATGAGTTTTTTTCGACCACTCAAGCGGCATCCAACAATTCTCTACACCCAAGCATGAGACTCCTCAACAAACCTTCCGACTTCCACCTACGTCGCCAGCAAGCTCAACGTATGTGAACTCATAGAACTTGTAGTAGAATACATCAATAATACATGCACATGGTTCCATCATTAACGTATAATCAGATAATATGAGCCATGCAGAGTCTCTGGCAACCCTATCAAACCATGTGAATAGAGCATAAGCCACACTCACACCAATGAACCTCAATTCATTTGGTAAATTCCAACCTACCCATCTTAAATAATTGGGAAAAGCCATTCAGACAGAGAATGGCTTCATGTTTTGGGACAGGGAGCCCCCCTATTCGTGGGGCACTGACGCCGCCCCTGTCCCAAACCTTGGAGGAACTCCCTATCAATCCAGCAAGTCTCTAAATAATTTCATGTCCATGAATTGAATCACAATGTCACTTGGAGGACAGAAACCTCAGCTCATCCAAAATGTGGGCTATAAAAAACCCACTGCCCAACTGTCTTAACCACCTCTTTAAATCAAAAAACCCTACTCTTTTTTCTCCTATCAAAAAAATAAATATATAAATAATGGCAGCAACGTCAGTGCCATCATTCTCCACCATTTTCTATGCCATCTGTTGTTGATTATATCTTGGAAGTGTACGAATCGTAACATGTAGTAAAGTAGACCAAAGAGTTCGGATTTTCGATTCCACGAGAACTATACTTTAGAATTTAATTCAATTTTCTTTAACCACTATTTGATGAAAATAAACAAAAATGATTATCGGTTGTGATTTTTGATTTAACTACTTAAAATGAGAATTGATGTAACAAAAAGTGATTTGAAATTCAAACAATAAATGGATGTTAGGGCGGAACAACTTCACCTATTAGTCATCTTTACTTCTAATATCAAGATTCATAAAATCTAAAGTAATGTTCGGTCAAATTCTTTTATTGTATTCAATTTACCCCTCTAAAGTTCTCATTGAACCTATTAAACTACTTCAATTCCATCTCTCTATACGAATCAAACTTAGTTAAACGCACTAATAGTTATAAGATTTCATTTATGATCGCAGCAATTAATAAAGGTATCTCTACACGTTATATTAATTTACCGAATTTTAATATGTGGTCTAAACAAAGAATCCGCATCTCTACATAATTACTGTTTACGAAATCATTGAATAATTGGCTAGAAAATTCAAAGTATTGAGAATATAATTAAAACCATACATATAATCATAACGAACAAGAATCTCAAATAAAAAAATAAAGGGTCCTAAATAGATTACATTGTTCGTCATAAAATTAGATTTAGCTACATATAGTAATGGAAGAAGAACAAGAAGTTATTACGAAAGACATCACCGGGTTTTTAATAAGAATATAGAATAAGAAATCAATCTTGCATCAAGATCTTCTTCCCCTTTCAATTTATGTTTCAACCCTTGAATTGTTTGTTATTTTGTTCTCTTGAATTATTCTTTTTAATCTTCAAGTGTGTCTCTTGTATCTCAATGTGTGAATCCCCCGGCAAAAGTGTGAGAAATTTGTATTTGTAGGTGCCCTCTCACGTGTGTAAAAAGTATGATTTTTATGGACTTCAAAACGCGTCAAAAATGGGCCCTAGACGCACCCAAGCGACGCCGCGGCTCTATTTTGGTGGCGCCACCTTTTGGGCAGACAACATGTCGTTTAGTATTTTTATCATAACTTTCTTTCTCGATATCTGATTGAAGCGATTCAAGTTGCGTTGGAAAGCTAATTCAAAGGGCTGTAACTTTGCTGCAGGTATCATTTTCAAATTCAATCATTTTTTATATCAAAACCAGGTCCCAATATGAGGCTGAAAATGATTCATAACTTTTTTCGGTTTAAACTTGATGTGTGATCATATTTTGATTATATATAATCCCTTTGATGTCTTTCTTTATCCAATTGACTCCGAGCACCCTTGAATTTTTATCGTGAGGTCCGATACAACTTTTGAATATTTATGTTTTGGTCCAGGAACTTTGGATCTCTTACAACTTAGCCATTTTCTCCAATTTTGTCAACTTTGCTTATTTCCTTCAATTTTTTGTACCGTCATTGAATTTTACCTATTCAACACCAAATGCAATAATTTAGACAATAATTTATCCGAGAAGCAACTAAATATCATTGTTTTAAAACCTTGAATAAGCGTATAAAATACACTCATCGCCACTACTTTGTCCTCAAAACCCGTACTTTCCCACTTAAACTCTTCTACTAAACTTACTCCAAAATCCCATCAAAATTTCAAAGAATTGATCACTATATCAAGAAGAAAATTCTTGAATGGATCGCTTGCTTTAGTATCACCAGTGATATCTCCTCCTCCACCTTCTCAGACGAAGGAAATTGAAGTGGTGCCCTTTTTACAATGCTACTAGAAGTTTCCATTTATCATTGTCAAGAGTTTGATGATTTGTTTGTTGTTTGGAATAAGTTATCATGAATTTTCTTCTTCTGGATATGACAATATTGTTAGAATTCCAACAAGAATTATTATAGTGGCAGATCTAGAGGGCGGCCACCTTAGCTGGATCCGTCGGGGTATATATATATATATATATTTTTTTTTTTGTTAGTAATATATTAGATTTTTACTTTATATTGTTAGTAATTGATTTTATTTTCAAACATCCTTGTAGCTTACTTGGTGAGAGTTAGCCTTAATATACTTCAAGTTTTAGGTTCGAATCTTTGTCAATGAATTTGTTATGTATTATTTTTATTCTATAATTTTTACCAAAATTCAATAAGAGAGAGACAATGAGGATTTGAACCTATGATCTCAAGCAAAGATTGTGGTAAACTTAACTATTATTGTACCTCTTGAATTGTGTTACTAAATTTAACAAAAATGATATTTGTTAGGTTTTGATTGTTTTAATGTAAACAATTTTAAATATTCATATTCACACTCTTCTTTTGAATTATGCAAAATTTGGCAACAATTTTATTTGATGAGTTCTATTTATTCTTATAACAGAATTATATATATTTATTTTGAACAAAATAATTGTTATATTTATACTTTAGGCTTTGTTCTGTTCGCCTTTTTTTAAAACTACATTTTTCTTTCTTCTTTTCATCTATACATTCTTTAATAAAATAATATTACACATAAATTTTGAAAGAACGAGAAAACTTCGAGATTAACTACAGTTCATCATCTATCCATTAAACAACAAAATAAATGCAGAAAATAAAGAATCAACACAAGGAATTTTTGGGCCGTAGCCCCAGAGGTTCGGCGACCACTTTCTAACGCCTAATTCCCTGTTGAGCATCCATTATAAATGGATAAAACTCGATTGCACTAATAGTCCAAAAACGGCAGCAAATATACATGAGTATCTCAGAAAATATTACAAAGAACTCAACACGAAAACTTATCTTTGCAAGAACTACTGGACCGACTGCTTATTCCACAAAGGAATCGAACAGATCACAAAGATCTATCAAGAACCAGAACTGCACACTATGAATCACACAGATTCATCCAAAATACCACACAGGGTAATACACAAATATGCAGATCTATAATACCACAAGGTATTCTACATTTATTCACTGAATCCACTCAAGATTTATCAAACCAAATCACCAAGAAAAGGAATAATCTCACGCAGAGAAGAGGGAGAACAGAGAGATGAACGGTCGAGTCAACCACACATCACAAGTGAGCTCAAAAGGCTCGTTTGGATATTTAGGGTTAGAATCGTCTAGAAGCTCATCCAAGGGTTATTGCTCAGCCACGTGTTTCAATCCCATTAGTTCCGTTTATTTCCAAAGGTGTTAATCCAAGAAACACGACTTTTCAATAACATTTGGAAGCACACTTTTATAAGT